TTTAAGCCACAGTCAGCATCCCTGACATCAGGTCATAATTTTACTTCACTGCATCTTGAGGTAGAATCCCCAAATAGAATTTCCTCAATGGGAACTGTTTGTCTTTTATAATTACATTAAATTGAAATTATGTACAATTTGAAAACTTGAGAAAAGGGTTACTTATTGGATCTTTGTACCTATATATTAGTATAAGTTGTACTTTGAAACAAGTAGACTTCCTTTGTTTAGAATTGCCCTATTTTTATTTTTAAAACTCAAAGTTGGCAATATCATTTTAATATCAGTTTGTAAATAGGCTATTTATTATCTTTTATCATAATCAGCTCCTGTTTTAAAGTGAAAAGAGATTCTAATGCAGTAGTCAAATGTGCTGCCTTCCTTAGTCTAGTTTCTATTTCTCAGTCCACTTCTTAGGAGCCTTTCTCTGCTGGCGCCTAGTGGGGCAAGGTCAGTTTGAAGGGCCTGGTGGGCAGAGATGGAGAGAATGGGGGAAACTGAGTCCATGAGACAATAGTAGTTTGGCTGTACCAGCTGGTGCTTTTTCTTTTTGCTCTAGCTGAGGATGAATTGGAGCCTGCCAGGAAAAAAAGGAGAGAACAGCTTGCCTACCTGGAATCTGAGGAATTTCAGAAAATTCTAAAAGCAAAATCAAAGCACACAGGGATCCTAAAAGAGGTAAGAGCTTGAAAGATCAAAGATGGTATCCTGAAGGGCAATGATGCCCTTCAGACTCTCAGTGCTTTGTTGTGGGACTAAAATTTGTTTCTTTTACCCCGAGTAGGATGTAGCTATATATCAGCTGGTTTGGGTATACTTCGTAGCACAGGAATATTCCCCATAGATTGCAGTCTTGCCTTTGCCTTTGCATTGAAGAGTATCAGTTAACACTGTTTAAACAGACTTCAGTGTTATAAAAATGATTGCATGTAATTATGGGTGTGAACCTAATGATAAATGGCTCACCACTATCTACTATGTTCTGCCTTGTAATGTGAGAAGGGATTTTTCCATTTAAATACTTTTATATTGGCATTTCAAATGCTGTAAATCAGTAGTTATCAATCCAACACTCCCAAATGCCCCTTCTTAATAACAGATATTTTGTATTGTTCCCATATTATTCTGAAATAGAATTCATGATGATATAATCACCTAACTAGTTGAATTATATTGAAAATGATCATGTAATATCCTAACTATAATATAAAGAAGGAAAAGGGAAATATTTATATTAAAAATATGTATTTTATTATGTAAGTACATGGGCACAACTACCCTAGAAGAAATAATGAAGTAGTCAGAGTACTGGATTTATATGTGTTGTAAATATTTGAGACAGATAGAAGGGAAGACTCATTGAGGTTTGTTTACTCGGTAACTTAAATACCATGGACCTGTTTCTTTCAAAATGTGTTTTGTGTTTTTTTTTAAGCAGTGAATAATCTTGGAAAACTTTTGAAGACACCAAAGTGCAGTGTCTTCACTGCCCTTTACACAGGAGTTGCCTAGTTGCACTCTTAGAATATTTAGTGTATATTAAAACCATGCACAAATATTGTAGGGTTGTGTATAAAGTGGTTAGGTTCGAGGGTTATAATTGGGTTTTTTATCCACATGTCCCAAAAAACATTCAGAAAAACCCTTTGTTGTGTGGGGCTGTTCTGTGCATTGCAGATAGTGTAGCATCCCTGGTTGCGGGCAGTAGCAAGGGTAGCAAATCATTGAGACAACAAACTCCCACACATTTTTTTTAGGAGGGAGAAGAAGGGCGGGAGACAGAGGGAGAGGAATACCATGTGAGAGAGAACATCAATCCATTGCCTCTTGCACCCCAACTGGGGACTGAACTGGCAACCCCGGATGTGCCCTGAACGGGAATCCACCTGTGACCTTTCACTTTGCAGACCGATGCCCAACCCACTGTGGCACACAGGTCAGGGCAGTGCTCCCACGAGGTTTCAAAATGCCCGCTGGGGGCAGTATTGCTTCTGCTCTGCTTTTGATTAGCAAATGACTAATGAGAACATTATATATCATATCTTTTTACTGAACTTGAAATCAGGAGAGATGCTCAGAAGACTAGAGCTGAGCTGCTTCTCTTTTGTGGCCACCAAAGTGATCCTTGTGTCTTGTGTAGCTGCATTAACGCCAGGCCTGTAACCACATTCTGCTGTAAATATCTCACTGCCCTCGTCTCCGCCCTGTGTTCTGCACAAACAGGATTGCTCCTGTCAAGGTCTGGAGAAGAGTGTAGAACAGACCGGGCTGCCATTGCTGGTGGGGCATTGAATACCTTCCATCACTGGAGTCTGTAGTGGGATAGGAGGACAGATTCCCTTTGGGTGCACACTTGACATGGTGACCTTGTTAGTAATGGTAGCATTTTAAGTCTGTATTTAATGTTTTAAAAATTACATGTTCTCATACCCTTTTTTTCATGTTAAGAAAGTGTGTCTACTTACTATCATCTTTTGATTTGCATTTACCAAGCCATTACCAAGTGTCCTCATCAACAGGAAGCTTGTCTCTTCAGTTCTGGTATTGAACTGTGGTCTGAGTGTGTATGGGATTGGTCCAAGCATCCCATATGCCTTGTCATTGCAGGCTGAGGCTGAGCTGCAGGAACTCTATTTTGAGCCACTGGTGAAGAAAGAACAAATGGAAGAAAAGATGAGAAACATCAAAGAAGTGAAATGCCGAGTGGTGACATGCAAGACGGTGAGTGCAGGAAGGCAGCTGTGACCCTGGGCCCTATTTTGTGCTATTGTGACTCAGCAAAATATGGAGAATCTACAGGGTGGCAGGCCATATCTTGTGACCAGAGTCATGCTTAGGTCATTTATTTACACTGGAAATAAGAGAGCTTACAATAGCCCGGATCTGGCTCTGTGTTGACCTGTCCAATGGACTCTGATGTGGAACATTTGTAGTGAGGTTTTTCTCTCATTTGATCTCAGCTCCCAGTTCTACAGACAAGCCTGCCTCTAATGGCTCTTCCCCTTTGCCCATTGAAACCAAGTTACTCTTTCATCTTTGTGAAGTTTCTAGCACACCCTCAGTTCATAGCTCCTGGGACCTTGCTAAATTGAATCCTAGGGTAGAGTGTGAATTGTATTATTGTCTGTGTTAGCAGAATTTTTATCCTAAGTCTGTTAGAAAATAGTTTCCTATTCCTCAACATTAATTTTTAAATGGCCCCCATAAAGCTCCTGCTGAGCAGTATTCCTTCCATTCCCCCTCATCCTGGCTGGCCAGCCTTATATTTGCATATAAGAAGGGGAAGAGACTTAGCTTACCAAGTACAATTTGCTGTATTGTTTCTACAACCTTAGGTTCTCCTTTATATTTAGGGAGTGGTCCTGAACCAGCCACAACCAAAAGGGCTTCCTTAGGAAAATTCAGACCTTGGTGAATAAGTAAAGGTTTTACCTCAGATGGCGACTTTTACTCTGACAAAGTGGCAAGCCTAAGGACATAGCTGGTGTATTATCTTCTTGCTGCTGCTCTAACAAATGACCGCTGATGGGGAACTTAAAACAACACCGCTTCATTACCCTACAGTTCTGTAGGTCAGAAGTCTGTGTGGGTCTAACAGGGCTAAAACCATGTGTCCTTGAAGGCCATATTCCTTTCTGGAGACTCAGGAGGAGGAATGATTTCCTTGGCATTTCTGGCTTCTAGATCCCACCCCACACACCTTGACGAGGGACCCCTTCCTCCTTCTTCAGAGCCAGCAATGGCAGGTTGAGCCCCCTCATAACACCACTCTGTCCTCCTCCCCTTTGTCCCATGTCCACTTTTAAGGACATTTTGTGATTCCATTGGGCCTGCCCACAAAATACAGGACAATCTCCCTATCTTAAAGTCAACTAATTAGCCACCTGAATCCCCTTTAGACCCTAATGTACTCATAGGTCCCAGGGTATAGGGTGCGTACATCTTCGGGGGAGGAAAGGCATTCTGCCAACCATAGCCAGCATATCACTCGGCCCTGCACTTTTTGAAGTTGCCAGAATCAGGAGTTATTTATGTAAACTCGGTGTAATTAGCAGAAATTAACATCACACCCTTTTCCAAGCTTCACCCACCATTTCTTATTCTCTTCAGTCCTTTTGAAAATCAAAATTAAGTGAATTATTTAATACCTTTGTCTTGGCTTTCCTACTTAAGAAAAATAGGAGTAGTAATAAGTTTATCCTTTTCAGAGGCCTTGTAAGAGAAAGTGAACGAGGTGCTGAACAACTTCCTAAATGGACCCCGCGCCTCAGTGTCCTGTAACCAGGGGACTGCAGGGGATATAGGACAGCCCTACTAGGCTATTTAGAGGTTTCCACTGTTGTTCTTCCTCGGCCCTTTCTGTTTTCTTGATGTCACAGAAGATTACTGCGTACTTCATGCCTGACCAGAAACTGAAGCAAACATGAGAAAGAGTCGTATCAGTATGAGGGGCCCACAAAATCACATGGCTCACCGTAGCTAGAAGTTAAGGTGGTCACTCCACTAGCAAGCCCCTGGGTCATGAGAGGACAGATTACTGTCTCAGTAGCTAACCAGGTTCTCCTTCAGAGCTCTTCACCACATGTGTGTCCTTGTCGGTTTGTGCAGTGTGCCTACACCCACTTCAAGCCTTTGGAGACCTGCATCAGTGAGCAGCATGACTACCATTGGCACGACGCGTTGAAAAGGTTTTTCAAGTGCCCCTGTGGAAGCAGATGTATCTCCCTTGACAGGCTACCCAGAAAGCACTGCAGGTATGAGAACTGCCTGGGATTCCGTGTCCCATCTGGACTTCTTTTTTTTTTTTAAGATTTTATTTATGTATTTTCAGAGAGGGAAGGGGGGGGGGGGAGAGAGAGAGAGAGGGAGAGAGAGAGAGGGAGAGAGAGAGAAAGAAACATCAGTCTGCGGTTGCTGGGGGTTCTGGCCTGCAACCCAGGAATGTACCCTGGCTGGGAATCGAACCTGAGACACTTTGGTTCCCAGTCCGCGCTCAATCCACTGAGCTACGCCAGCCAGGGGCCATCTGGACTTCTTGAACCCTCTTTCAGTTCCCGCATGATGCTGTTCCATTGAAACAGGGACAGTCCTTTGTGAGGGTCCAGCCTTATTTCTGTGCCTTCTTCCAGCTCCTGGAGAGAAGGGACCCTGCCCTCTTCACCGCTTTATCCCCGATACTTGATATAGTGCCTGGCACATAGTATGTCCTCAAGAATGTTTGTGGAGTTAATAAATGAAATATGGATAAGGTGGGTTGGGGAATACGTGTATTTGTGAGGGCTAGGAGTTAGGATTTTTTTCTCCACTCTTAAGTTTTCTTTTTACTTTTTGGGGGTGGCTTCAGATATAGAGGCAGAGCTGCTGTGTTGAGCGTTATTCACATAGAACACAATGCACATGACACCCTGTGGAGTTCCGGGTGGCCAACCACAGGCCACTTATACACCACCACAGGTCCGTCCAGTGCTCTCCTCATTTATGTACAGTCACGTGCTCCGTAACAATGTGTTGGTCAGTGACACTTGACCACACAGAGCATGGTAGTCCCATAAGATTATAATGGAGTCGAAAAATTCCTGTCACCTAGTGATGACACAGCTGTTGGGGGGTGGCGTCTGTTGCAGTGCCGTTGCCGTCTTGCCGTCAAGCAGGGCGCTCCTCCCGTCTTCATCACCTTGTCGGGAGCTGATTTGGGACTTTTTCACAATCTGGGTAATTGTTTCAAGTGGCTATGTGAATATTGACACTTGACTTTCCTCCAAAATATTGTGAAAACAGCTTCTGTAAAACATCTTGAGTATCAGAGAAAATCTGTTCATTAAAGATGAGCAGTGAAGTAAGTACAGCTCACAAATGGAAGAGCATGGTGCCTCTTTGGCCTCCAGGTGGCACTCTTGTTTTTGTAAGAACAGCTGCTTTCTCTGGTTTTTCAATTCTTGATCTAGAGCAGAAGTAAGCAAATTTTTTCTGTAAAAAAGACAGATAGTAAATATATGAGGTTTTTCAAGTCCATGGTCTGTTTCACAGCTACCCAGCTTGTGTAGCTTGAAAGCTCTTGTAGGTAATACACGACAAATGGATGTGCTGTGTTCAAATAAAACTTTATTTACAAAAACTGGGACAGTGTGCATTTGGCCCACAGGTTGCATTTTTTTGCCAACCCCTGACATCTAGCACACTGATTGATTGATTGATTGATTGATTGATTTAATTTTTTTAATGATGCCACCACTGATCTACTAGTAGGCTACAAAAGTTCCCTCAGTAGATATTGAACGAGTCTGTAGATGGAGAAGGTGACAGAGCCGCGTATGGCCAAGGCCACGGGCATGCTGACTCTCAGGGCAGGGGGAGAGTCTCCCTTTGTTTTGTATTGGTCTTAGCCTATCAATAACCCATGTTGTGGCTGGATCAGCCCTAGTTGTTCTTAACTGTGACTGCAAGACACCCTTCAGCAGCAGCCATTGGGGAACTCTGAAAAGATACAGGTTTATTACTTAGGAGGCCTGGAGATCACACAGCACACCTTGAGCCGCACAGTGAGGTCCCTGTAGAGAGCCTGAGCCAGAGCATGCTGGCCTGGCTGCTTCTGCTTTGACTGGGGTTGAGGGTGGAGCCTAGGGTTTCCAAGGCTCATTCTTTATTGGTGAACTTAAAACATAAGAGGGGGAATTTAAATCACACGAAGAGAAAACAAGTAGTCCAAATGGTCAGTTGTCGAAATTAACAGAGATCTCTAAAACAAAGGACTCTTAATGGAAGGGGGCTGGGGAATCTAGTCCTGTGGCCAGCGGGCCGTGTGTTTGAAGAAGATGCCTCAGCAATCAAAGCTTAAGTCTGGCACTTGCATTACAAAAAGAAAAAGACAACCATCAGGACGTGCACTATAAAACTAGAAAGGGAAGAAGGAGGAGGCAGATAGGGCAGTCCGCTGTGCCCCAGACCCTCTCAGATCCAAGGGTAAGACATATTTCAATGTCTTCCCTGCGTTTCTTTTCTGTTTCTCTTCTCGCCCCAAGGAAACATAGTAGAAGATAAGCTTTCCCCATAGTAGCCACATCGCTTCTCTGAGCTGGGACTCACCTACTAATTTAAAAAAGGAGAACAAACATCTCTGTCCCTTTGAAGAGCGAATAGTAAGAGAGTAGATGTATTTAGGTTATGAAAAGGGAAGAAAGATTATTCAGACCAGAAAAAAGATTAATCCTTTATCCCAACCTTTTAGTTGCAAAAAAGAGAAAGACTAAGGCTACATGGTGTCAGAGGGCTTGCTTTCTAAACCTGAGTGTCATCCCAATAACTTTCAGTAAGAATCAGGTTGCATCCATTACCTACCACGTGCACAGCTCTGTCACACTATTATTAGAAATTCCATCTGTGATGTATCTGGCTTACTGCAGAGTTGAAGACCATTCCTCAGATCACTGGATTGTGTATTTTCAGTAGCATTCGAGCATAGCCTGTAATCTGAGTGTCACCTCAATCACCTTCTGCTTGAATGGGGGACACTCTTCTGGTGTCTGTACGTGCTGGGCCTGCATCTCACTGCTGAGTGAATCTCATCCTTTGTGTTTCAGTAACTGTGGCCTCTTCAAGTGGGAACGGGACGGAATGCTAAAGGTATGGCATTTGCAAGGTGACTCATTTTAGTGACCCAGGCAAAAATGTTGACCCATTTCTTATTAAACTATTTTCATTTTTCTAGGAAAAGGCGGGTCCAAAGATAGGAGGAGAAACCCTGTTACCAAGAGGAGAAGAACATGCCAAATTTCTGAATAGCCTTAAATAGCTGCAACTTACCAAGATACACACAACCTATACTGCTTCTTGTGGTTCTGGAAAGCCGGGATTGGTTCTGTGTAGCCTGTATTCCTGATGGGCACAGTCAAACAAATACTTGTTAAGCCTACAAGCTTTGCTTATGGACTTCCCTCCACTGTGCTAATTTGACACCGAATTTAACATTGATCTTTAAGCAGAAAGTCAATATGCCATTGTCTTTACGATAGTTTTAGTCACACAGATTTTTTGCCCCAAAACTGGAAGGTAAATTGAGAGCTGTGTTTCTGTATCTCTTGGATCATAGGGTGTGTAATGTTGCTTTATCTCAATAAGGTTCTAGTCTAGTGTTTACGTGGTGTCACAGAGGCAAAAGAATTAATTTAGCTCACCCCAGATAAATTGCTTAACCTCTGGGATTCAATTTCCTTATCTGTAAAGTGAGGAAAGGTGTAACAGTGATCCTGAAATGTGTCTTTTAGCACTCAAATTCTATAAACATGTGACTTTTTTATCTAGATCGTTATGATCACTGCTCTTGTTATAGATGTGAGTTGGCAGGCAGGCCCTCCATCCACTGAGCCACACCAGCCAGGGCTGCCCTTCACACAGTTTCGATGTGTTGGTATTATAAGCCAGGTTTCTTTTTTCTGTTGCATTATCTATTTTGTTTGCGGGGGGTTGGGTTGTTTTATTTTCTTTTTAAAAAATTGATTAAGTCACCGAACCACTGGCATTTTAATTCATATCTGTATGGCTCTCAGTACCCATATAATATTGTGGAACTTTGAATGAAAATACCTAAAAACCTCATCATTTTAAAATATGGTTTAAAGAAACTGAAACTTTTAACCAAAAGGAATGCAACATTTGAGAAGCTATGAAGCATGACTGAAAAAACAAACAGTCCATAAAGAATGGGGTTTGGGATTTGCACATATACTTTATTATCAACATCAAGAATTATAGTTTAAGCTCCAGGCAAATTACCATCAAAAAGTCCCATTTGGGATATTCCTCTTCCTGTGCAACCTGCCTTTCCAAATACTGTTGGACCCAAGTGAATGCTGGTGTCACCTAAAGGCTGGGTAAATTGGTAGGATTGTTGTACTGGGAGTTAAACTCTGGCTAGAGGTAGATTAGGTTTCCCCAAGATGGTGTCATGGTAAGAACATCACAATTATGGGAGGTGGTTGTGGGAGATATTTAGGTGTATAAGGAGCCAGAAATAAAATTCAAGTGCCTTAGATTTTGTCAAATTCTTCTCTGTATGGTAAAAAGTGCTGGTCTGACCCTTGCGTCTCCCCCAAGGTCATATTCTAATAACTATATTTTTAGGAATATTTTATTTTCCAGGAGATACTGGGTTTTCAGTTTTTTTAACTAACGAAGAATAAAGTGTTTAATACTTAGTAAGAACCAAAAGCACTTGAAACTATGATATTAATAGTTCACATAGAGTACATTATATGTCCCATAGATTTAAAGTAGCTATGTATTTGAAGTAGGTCATGACTGAGCAGCTGCCTAGAAATTGAACTCCAGGTTGCTCTGAGTAGTGAGAACATGTTTTTGTTTGAACCAAGAGCATCCGAGTCCATATTCACTTGTATATTATATGTAAGTAGTGTAATATTCTTGTAAAGATCGATGGTGAACTGAATCTAGATGCCTTTTTAAAAAGTGACTATCCCTGGCTGGTGTGGCTCAGTGGATTGAGTGCCAGCCTTTGAAGGGCAGGGTTGCCAGTTTGATTCCCAGTCAGGGCACACACCTGGGTTGCAGGCCAGGTGCCCAGTTGGGAGTGTGTGAGAGGCAACTGGATCCATGTATCTCTCACACATCAGTGATTTTTCCCTTTCTCCCTTCCCCTCTAAAAATAAATAAATAGAATCTTTTAAAAAAGTAAAAAATAAAATTTGACTTTAAATTTTAAAATAATTTTAAACTATAATTTAATGGCTACTCAGTTACTCTAGATCTCAGGCCGTTTTCATTTGAGGTGCTTTGTGTGTGTCTGCACACCTGCTTAAAATATTCAGGGATGAGAAGGGGTGGGTAGGCTGGAAGGGTGACTTGTTTGCATTGAAAGTAGGGCTCATCAATGAGATCTGTCTTTTAATCCCACTGTCTATCAATGTTGTCATATAAAACCAAAATATGTTTAATTTTTCTTACCTTGTTTTTGGCAATGTAGGGCTTATTGTGAAATCACAGACCTTCAGAACAGGTTAAGTACACAAAACAAAAACTGGCTGTGTCCTGCCTGAGAATGTTCTGCTCTGATCTTTATAGATAGGCCCTCCCTCCCTCCCCCATCCCATTTCTCCCACCCTTTTCTCCTTCCTTCCTTCCTTCCTTCCTTCCTTCCTTCCTTCCTTTTTTCCTCTTTCTCTGTTTGCAGAAAAATAAGTGACTTTTTAAGGAAAATCATCTTTCTTTTGAGTTTTGTTGAAATGAATGAGATATATTTTCTCTTCCAAACCACAAAAGGAAAGCTAGTAATTTAGTTAACAATGATCCAGAATACTAAATAAGTAACTTCAGAACTATTGGTGTACAATTTTCCCCAAAGGGAACTTAAAACAACTTTTAAAAATTTTCAAGTTTTAGCCCTAGTTGGTAGGGCTAAAACTTAGTGGATTGAACACCGGCCTGCAAACCAAAGGGTCATCAGTTCAATTCCCAGTCAGCATATGCCTGGGTTGCAGGCTAGGTCCCCAGTAGTGGGTGAGAGAGAGAGGCAACCACATATTGATGTTTCCCTCTCCTTCCCCCACCCCATCTAAAAATAAATAAATAAAATCTCTCAAACAAAATTTCAAGTTTTCAACTATTAAAATCATTTCAAGTTGATGGATGTGTACCGCAAAGTTTTTGCATAAATTAAGCTTTTGTGTAGAAGTAGATGATGATGGAAGTACAGCTTGATGTTTAAAACAGATTAATGTGTCTGATAACATTAATTTTTTTAAATGAGGAGAGTAAATCTGTCTAATTATATCACAGCAGCCCACCAGAGAAAGCTTCTGTGAGTAATATAGACATCTCTGAGTGCGTGAGCTGAGACTTGGAAGCAATGCAGCTCTCACGAAGGACAGGCGGCTCAGAACATGAAATTCTCGATTTGCCAATAGTGAGGAAAGAGTACTGTACTTAAAGACAATAATACAGAGACACAAAAGATG